CCTGCTGTCCGGCAGGCAGACATCCTCCTGACAGCTCAGAGTATGCAGCACCTTGACTGCCCTTTTATTCCTACTGATCTCCTACAATACCACATTATTTCTCCTATAGGATACAGTAACACGACACTTAAAAGATTTATATGTTCATGCAATGAGTCCAAGTTTATGCAGTAAATACGCTAGTGGCCTGTGTCTTGAGCACAAGCCCATAGTGTAAGGGCTGTGCTTTGAAAGATTTTGTTACCTACACTGCACTCTCTTCTGTCTCACCTGGCTGGTAAGAGCAGGGTTGATAAGAGCAGCCCACCACTGTAAAATTAACAAATCTGTCATGCCCAGGAATCCTGAAAAACTTAAATAAATCCCTATAATACCAAGCTGACATGTGAAAACGCAGGGCTATTATTATAGGCTACATCTAAGTACCTGGCAGGAGGCAGACAACAACAGAGAAAAGCATTAGTTCCCTTCACCTGAACATCCAGAGGTTTTTCGCCGTTCACAGGCGGTACCACAGCTCTCGGCATCTGCGACTCGCTTGTGCCAACCACCCAGGCCAGCAGGGAGGCACGACAGAGGAACTCCATGCTCTTGCAGCTGAATCACTAACAAGACTCCAACTGAAGCACATCGCAAGCGCCAGTGCCATTTAAGACCACGTACTGAGTTATACAGCTTGGATTATTATGGGCTGGCAAAAGCTGAATTTGTATGATCATCATCAATAGCTAATGCTAACTCCTTTGGTATCAGAGAGGTAAGCATAAAGAGACTCACAATTTTTCATACAGTCCATTCATTATCTTTTCAAGTCAAATGAATAAAAGTCTCATTACAATGGCTTTTAGAATGCTTTGATTTTTTAGAGTACAAATTATTTTCAAGACAACACACTTATCTTCCCCTCGTCGGTAAAGACTTTCAGTAGGACAAACTGCAGGTTAGTATCAAGCTGTAGACAACAGGAGGTCAACAGAAGTGAGATAAACACACTTATAGGTCTGCAAATAATCACCATATTTGCACACACAATTCAGGCGAGGCACTTTATTTACTTTATTCATTATCTATCATCACCACACCATTTTAGAACAAGACACAAGTATTTTTCTCCTCTGTTTTGATCTGGAGTGAGCAAGAGATGGTAATGACAGGGAATCAGACAGGCAATTTTGGTGGAATGGAAAGACAGAGCATGGTTTGTCCTAAAAGCCTGACAAAAAATAGTTGATGACCAAGTACTGTGCAGTCTAGCCATAAATACTAAAGTAACAGCATCTCCAAAAAATCTCTCCATGCCTGACAGAGCACGGCATTCAAAACAAAAATGGACACGGCAGGCACAGTCTGGTCTTCATCGTAGAATACTTTCACCATGTAAAGTTCTGGAAAATTCATCTGAAAAGTTCAGACTTTTAGTAAACAGAAAAAAAAACAATCAAGAGAAATTTTGCTTCCATATAACTTCACTATCTCAAAAATCCTGTGACCGAGACTAATTTCTTTCCACTCAGAAAAAATACCTTTTCCATTAAAGGTGAGCTCTTACAGGTTTTATGAGGGCTCCTCCTGACAACAGTCCAGGCCTTACCACCATGAAGCTCAGCGCACATGAACTGCTGAATACAGCAGTTACAGAGAATGGCCCTGCACCGTATTTGTGTGCTTCAGTAGTCACCGATGGACAAGGACCACGCAGGATGATCTGTGTCAGGAGCAGCGGTTTCAGCCTGGCCTCTCCTAAGATCATCTATCTGTTGGTAAAAGTACTAAACTTGAGCACGTTTCTCTGCAGAGTTCCATTTCAGAGCTGAGCCATGGTACCGGGTGGAGAATTTATCCTGAACTGTCACTGGAAAGAATCTCAACAGGAGAGACCAGGGAAGAAATGCAGCAAATGCTGACTTAGAGAATACTTACCCATTCCAAATAAATAAATTAATAGTGGGGGAGCTTTTCCCCAAGAGATGGAGCAGGACCCATGGACCAGTCAGTGACTCTGCTTTAAGAAACAGCTTTCCAAAAAGAGAACAAAATCACAGGACTAGCAGTTACAATCCTGACCATCATTCCTGCTATTCAATGCAACTCCTAAAAATCATGAATAGTTTAGCTGAAATTCCCATTTACTGAAATGAAATTTCTCAGATCTATACAAAGTCCAAAAAAACCCAAGACTATAACCTTTGATCATTGATTAATGGTCAAATTCAAAGTTGAAAAAAACAAGGTTATTCTGAAACTATAAGATCATACTCACAAAAAGCATCTGAAACTACTAACACAGAACTGCCAAATGGACCTTATTCAAAGGTAAAAATAAATAAAAAGGCTCTAAGTACGTTTAGGACCCAGAAGCTACATGCCAAGTCTCACACAGGAGGGAACTTAATCCTTGAAGCTATATTGGGATCTACAATGAGCGTTCAGTTTTAAAAGCCCACAATTTCCATGCAGAATTTTAAATCAGAAGGCCTGAAAGACATCAGTAATTTACTAGAGGCTTTGGACAACTTTCCAGTGAGTTTTAACCATTGTAAAAATATCTGTCTCTAGACTTGCCCAAAACTGCTTTTCTCCTTTTGTGGATATTTTTTTTTCTTTTTAACCTCTGCAAATCTTTTTTGCCGCTCAATTATTCTGTATAATGACTGACCATACTTGACGGTATTTTTATTAGGTAATATTTGCAATGATGCTGGTATAAATGTGTCCTAGCTACCAAGTCTGCCATTTCTCTTGCTTTTGAAGGATCAGGAAATATAATGGCCAGGTCTGTTTTTTTCCATCCTGTGACTGCTGGGAAGCTGCAAGCTCACAATCATTGTCTCATGGTTCTAAAACACATCATCAGGCTACCATTATGTATCTTCCATTGTGTTAGACATTCAGTCAAGTCAGTTGTTGAGCTGCAGCAGGACACAGTGGCTTTCTAGTTAAGTGTATTTCCACTACTTTGCAGTAGCTGTTTTAAGTTTCACGAAAAGATTTTAGGTTTCATCTTTGTCCATAAGTTCTGAACAAATCCATCTCCACTCTTCCTTTTGATACTGAACAGCGATCCCAGCAGCTGAAGCACTTTCAAGTCACTTCCCATGATCATGGAAAAACATTGAAGATGCTCTTTGACACTAGTCCTCCATTGCAGAATCCTCTTTGGATTCAATTAAATTATCTGTTCTTCAAAGAACACAGTACTGTGGGAGACGTTTTGTCAACTAGAGCAAAGCTAAGAGAGATTTTACAGGAGGAATGGGATATAAAAGATATGGGAACTTTATGACAATATATTTCTTGCATTGGTCAAATATTCAGGTTTTCCTTCAATGCTGAATAAGTTAATTATTTTTATAGTAACAGAGGACTCAAACAAAAGTAGCAGTAGCATGATCCTAAAACTGCAGATACTGCAGGTGCCACACAATGTGGCACTAGCTCTAGAAGCAAGAAATTTTACTTCAGGCTTCCAACATACACTAGAATCCCACCTGCGACGTTTTAGAGAAGGCTGTAAAGATACCGAACAGAAGCCTTCAATAAATGGAAAGGTACTTGAAGACAGTTTTGACAAATTACTTCAGGTTGTCCCTAGCAGTACAAAACACTACAAAAGTCAGATCTGGGTGATGTCTATCAGTACACAAAAGGACCTAATATAGTAAGAATAAAACGTCTCTAAAGAGTAAGGCAAGAATTTCATTCACTGCGGTCTTGCATCAGGCTTAGTTAAGGCACAGAGCAGGTTAGGCTTAAATTTATGGAAATACTCAGCATGAAAACAAAAAAAAAGTAAATGGAGACCACATCTGATTAATAAAACAGCTAAAAAAATCTGATCTCAGCAAACCAACTCTGCTGAGAACCAAAGATAGATCATTTCTCAATTCGTATATCTTGGGTGTATTGAAGTGATAAAAGAGTATTTGCTTGGCTTGCTCCCTCACCATTAACATAGGCTATTGAACTGTTTCCATTTAGTTAAATATGAATTTACCTGTTGAAACAGTAGATATCCCGTATGTTTCCAAACAGGGCTGATCGCTCTTCTGTCCCCAGGGAGAGCTTGGTCTGGTCAGTGATACAGTCAAGGTAATCCTACAAGAGAAATGAGAAACGGGCCTTCAGACATTTCCTCCTTTTCCAGATCAGTTAATGGAGCTATGTTTTATTGTACAAGATGAGTCTCTTCGTATCAGTTTCACCTTATTATTACAGTGAAGCCTTCAGTAGCCCCTCTGTGAACAGTCACTCTATTATGTAAGGTAACAGTACTTATCTGTTCACTGAAACCAAGAAAATAACAAAAGACTGAACACTAAGTTACAGCCCTTAGATGGGACGGCCAACATTTCTCTTGTGACTGATATACAAATGTATTCAGATTTCATTCACAATGACAGTTTAATTGATCATTTAATTGGCTCAATGACAAAAAAATGTAAAAAGATGAAGAACGTCATTTAATGCAGTCTTAGTAACAGAAAACCTATATAATGAAGAGCAGAAAGCACACAAGCAATGCAGGCTCAGAAAAGCAATCACTGAAAAAAAAAAAAGTTTTTTTAAGTCACAGTGAAGAAAACTGCACAGTTTGTAGACAACAGATCCCAATGTATATATGTTCATGCAATTTAACCACACATACAGTTGCATTGCAAATTACATGGCTATATACTCTAGCAAAGATTTCCTTTTACATTTACAAGAGTGATAGCGTCTGATCCAGGGACTTTAATTGAATAGGAACTAGACAGCAGGAAAAAGCTCAGATCAGCAGTGTTCTGGGAGAACAACTTTCCCATCTCTTCCCTCACTTTGGTAAGAGCTCAGCTCCTGAAGCATCACCTTTCACTAAGTTGGTGCTACAGTATTAAAATTTTTCATCCAGCAGGCTATTTAACTAACTGTAACTCATAAACCAAGAAACCCAATGTGCTGCCACATTCATGAAGAAATTCTGCTGGGGAATGGAAATAAAGTAAAAGTGAAAACAGCTGAAACAATGTGAAATAAAAATAAATAAAATCCCTTAGCCTGGGGTTAGACAACGTGGTGTGGCAACCTCCCAAAATCAACACAGCATTCCACGGTGCTGCAAGGAAGGAGCCCTGCAAAACGTCAACAAGACCGTGAAAACTTCTAAGGTATAACTATGTTCCAGAGTCATAAAGAAAAAAGCATTATAGAACACATACATTGGCCAAGATTTATTCTCTGTGTAAATCCTGTGAAGACAAAGGGTTTGGATCAACCATGGATCTGACTTTTGGATTTTAGATGCCCTCATAAGGAAGCTTAAGAATTGCAGCACTTGAGCCTCTGCCCCATATCCTTCTTTCCAGCTGAAACAGTGTCAGCAGAGTCATGGGCGTAACCAAGATTCAGGTTTAGGTACCAGTAGGCTTTCCTGTCCATTGCCCCTATCCTAATGCTCAATAATCCACACACTTTCATCACCTCCAGTTGAAGGCACCCCTCATCACCCCCAAACACTCAGTATTTTTACCAAAGGAAAGCAATCAAGCCTATTCCAAGGCAACCTCAGCGTCTCCAAGCGGCAGCGGGCAGGCAGCAGGCAGGTCACCGGAGAGCCATCTCTTCCCTTCTGTGATGGCATCGGATCTGTACTCTACCTTCTCTCCTAGCTGACAGCAGCCTCACAGTCCAAGCCTGTCCTTGAAATAAATTTGTGCAGTAAGTCATTGGGACCACATCTCTGGGACTCCCTGAACTTGTCCTTGGCTTTTATTTATACTCAGAAGCTGCAGAAGAGTAAAAGGTTCAGGATGGTGAGGCAGACAGGACTGCAGCAAGCAATACGCTACGTCAAAGGCAGAAATAGATGATGGATTCAGGACTACTCCAGTGATGGCAGTAAATAAATCACTTTTTCTGCCCACCGATACAAATCTGCATATGAAAGCAAAGAACAGAAAGACTCCAGTGGAATTGTGATCCTCTGAACACATTTTCAGCACTGCAGGAACACTGCAGCACTCTGAGCTGGTATGACAGGGTGGGCTGCAGAGGAATAGCAGTCTTACAATAAGTAACTCCATATAGAGTATTTCTTGAATAAAGAGGAGTTCCTTTAATTCATTTCGGCATAGTTGGAGCTTGGGTTTCTTCAAAAGAACAAACAGTTCACAGTTACCTCCAGTATTGCAGACAGTGTTATTAGCATGACCTGGTTTGTGTTCCTTTTGTCCTCTTATCCCAGTTCTCCTCCACACACGCATACTCTTCTCAGCCTTTTACCAACTCTTACTAAGAAAGAGGGAACCAAGTACTTTCTAACGTTCCTGCCAAGCAGCAGCCTGCAGGTGCTCTGGCAGTCTTCCAGCAGCATATGCCAGGATCAGGTTATACCACACACCCACACCTTGTGCTCGTTTTTGCCAGAAGTTCCTCCAGGCTGCGCTTCAGGCCCGCTTCTCCTCCCAGCATCACATCAGAAACAAATCAGACACTAATGGTCGGATCTGTGCTTCCCTAAAGGGAGACGGTTATTTGCTCAAAACACTTGGGATTCAGAGGTGCCTTGTACCTCATCTCACACTGTTAGGAAATCACACAGGATCTGGGGGACTGCTTTCATGTTTTCATTTTCTATTTTTGTTAATATTGCTGACTAGAGTCTTGTGCAAGCCCGACAGCTACGGACACGTTTACGTTGCTGTTGCACGCGTAAGTGGATACCCTGAGCTAGACACGAACCGCCTACCGCGGCACTGACACAGCAGCAGAAGGCTTCAGACACCCGCGTTTAGGCGAAAGAGGGGCGCACTGCACAGTCTTGGCCTGGTGGTCTGACGAAGTCCAGGCACAGCACAGCAGCGCACCGCTCGCACCGACACAGCAAGCGGGACCCTCCTGGCTGCACCGCTTTACAGAGCACGCGTGCTCTCACAAAGGCTTCATGACCTCATCCAGCAAACAGATGCAGTATTGGCATGCAATGTCCTCTGCAAGGACAACACCACAGGCAGATCAAAGCTACCTAGCCAAAGCGTTTTTCCTAATTATTTCTTAGCGAAATGGTACTTTACCCCCATGGTAGTCACTGCAACCTCCTGCAGCATATCAACAGCTGTTATCATCCAAAGCTGTAATGAAAGGTTTGGAGCTACAAGATAACAGGGCAGGCTGCAACCGTAATGACACTGTGCAAAAATCAATGACATTTATCAGAACAGAGTACCGGCCTTATTCACTTTATTTGTTTCTTGTCAGCATCTATGGACCCTCTGTTGGCACCAAATGATTTGTTTACAACCTTTGCCTTTGCTAGACTTTTATTGCTTCTCTGCAGTTGTGGCAAAAACATTCAGCTTACTTTACAGCAGGAAAAAAAACCTCCACAAATGCTACTCGCCTTAGATTGATTTATGGAGCAAGGTTTGCTCTAATGGTATTGCACAATTTTTCCATCCTATTTCCTGAATCTCTCCAAAAACTAGAAGAGTCTTGCCAGACTTCCCTGCCTTCCTTGCTGTATATGACTTTCTCCCCATTTGTCTTTCATCACGCCGAATCCATCAGAAGGAACATCTGTCAGAAGCTGCATATCCTGACTACCATCTCCTCCTCCGTAATCACAAAAGAGTGAGCTCTAGAAGAACAAAACAATGACAACACTAACCTCAGAGGCTAATAAAAATAATTATATGAGTTGGAAATGAGAGAAAACTATCAAGAAAAGGACAAAAAGAGCAAAAAAATCTTCACATATTGATCAAACTATTTTTTCCATGACCAAACTTTAGAAACTGAAGGTAAATTATTTCATCTAGCCACCGAGGTTTTCCTTTGAAAACAGACACACATTTAGCTTTAAAAACAGACTACAGGCTGAAAAATAATAAATAATGTCAGTCATTAATGTGGCAATGTTAAAATTACACATTAAAATGAATAATGTTAATGGGAATGCTAACATAGTAGTGGTTAAAAAAATGGGTAAAAGCAGGCCAGAAGAAAAAAATGCCACAAACTGGATCCTGTTCGTAGCCTCCTAGCTAGAGCCATGCTGACCAAATCATCTATCACACTTGTTACCAAAGAGAAAGCTGGTAACAGTTGTACCACGGAATAACCACTCTACCATGCTCCCCCATTGCTAATTCTGCCAATTACATAGGTAATTACAAGCTGTACCAATTCCCCTTTTGCCTGATTTTTTTTTCTTCTTTCTTATTATTTATTTATGGATTTATCTAGCATGTACAGTAACATACTCTGAATGCCTTGTAGGTCAAAAAATAGCATACTATCCACAACAGGTGGCCAAGGATGCTGAATTCTGGTCAGTGCAACTCACTGCAGCTCTTTCCAATTATTTCAAGTACAGCTGTACTCTGCAAAGCAAAGGTGCAGTTGTAAACCAAACATACTTTGCTTTCTTGCTCTGGTTCCTTTGGCTATATGGGTCCAAGGACTGATTAAGACCTCAGTCAAATCCATCTCATTCCCATACCAAGACCTCTTGTCAGGATTTCTCCTTAAAACACATCATTGTCTTTGTTGTCATCACCTTCTGCGATAGCAGAAGACAACTCTGCTATTTCAGTGCAGGTCTGCAGTCTGCACAGTGGTTTTCTTGGGGACACCTGTAGCAAAACACTTCATGCAGTCAAACTTAATGTATTTCTCACTGCTTTCTTTCCCTTATCTTCTGTCTTCCACATTCTTCCTCTTCAGTCTCAGTAACCAGTGAAAATTGGCTGCATATCTACAGGCAGCGTCATTTTGACTGAAACCATCCTTCCCTTCTCAGAGTGAAAATGCTCGCCCAATTGCTCTTAAAAACCTTTTCCCACCTTCCATCCCACGTCAAAGCCCTTGCCATTTTCAGCCCTCCAGAGACAGCCTTGCATGTTCCCAGGTGGCAGGCAGAAATCCATGCCTGCGAAGATAATTAGCGCCCTTAAGCTCCCCCTTCTGAAACTCTTCTGTAGGAGAAGCAGAAGTGGCAGCAGCTCTGCTTCAGTGTTTCACCTGCATTGATTCAACAGAGAGGGGAGGAACTTTACAAACACTCTTTGCTGTGATGGTGAAAATTTGCTACCTGGCAGCAAGTATCTCCAGCTCCCACA